AATCATTTAAACTTATTTAGATGCAGAAAAGTTGGTGTGGTAGCTCGTTACAGCGGAAAGCATTTCTAACTTTTCTGTGGCTACAGGTGCCTGCCATTCTGAGGATGTAATGGAATGTAATGGCACATTATGGTGCAAAGTCCATCACGCAGTAATAAAAAGTATACTGTGTCCTCTGTGTGTAAGGCCAGAACAAGAGGCAGACATTTGTGAGACTGGGCTGCCCTCTAAAGGCCAGTGACTGTAAGCAGCATCAGAGTGCTCACAGAGAGGTTCACAAGTTGGAGTATCATTTAGGTGTAATCTAAATTTGAATATATTTTGGATATCTCTTTTAAATGAACACAATGTACAATCTTAAATTGCATGAGCTGATGATTACTAGAGGGAGAGGGGTCATGTACTTGTTAAAGGATTTCCAGATTTGATTTAAAACTGAATGGCCCAAACCTTATTCCATAACACATAAGAGTTTGTAAATCCTGGAGAATGCATCCTTAGTTTTTATATTTAATAATAATAAAGTGAAATGTAAGTAAAATGAATTTGTCTTAATGTGAAATGATTTTTTATGCAATAAAGTTGTGTCCATATAAATAAAATAGAAATGCCACTTTATCGCCTCATAACCAACGTACATTACACAGAGGAATGCATCTACTAGTGGAGGCTAACCGATTTTTGATGGAAATCCCCACTTTCTTTTCATTTTTAATATTTTTTTCTTTTTCCAGATGTTTTTTTATTGAGGTTCTGGCAACAATTACTGCTTCTTCCAGTTCTTAATATGTACAGAACCACATTTTTCATTGCACTGCCTTAACAAAACAAAAACAGCAGGGGTCACAACTTTACAAACATGATACAGCATTACATACACATAACATTTAAGTTACTAGGATATGCGAGAGTTCTTAATCGGTTAACAAGGTTCACTCCAGAGGGGTCCAACATGTATCTTAATTAATCCCTGGACACTGTCATGAAGGGTGTAGGTCACCTTTTCTCAGAACTGCCTTATACCAATAGTCCAGTGCAGGGATGTCGTCTGAAATCCATTTTTAAAAAATACTTTTATTGTAGAACATTGATAGTTCCTCGAAGTATTATATATGTTTACATGTTTTTGCAGTTTTTTAATATATATATAATCCAAACACCCAGTGCTACCAACACAAAGAAATATACAACTTCATGTAATTTGTATTAAGAAATGAGTAAGCACATATGACAAAGAAAAAAGAGGTGTGTGTGTGAGAGAGACAGAAAGAGAGAGAGAGACAGAGAGAGAGAGAGAGAGAGAGAGAGAGAGTATAAAATGTATACT